TCTTCTTGGGCGCTGCTCTTTCCGCTGCCCCGGATCGGCGCCTCCAAGCGCTACAGCATACACATATTTTTATGTGTGGCGCCTTGAGGAGACGCTAATAAATTCCGTGTTTTTTTCTGAAGAGGCAATTTGGGGGGATTTTTGCCGTTTTTTGGCAGCACAGAATTTACGGAGAAATCTTGTCTTTTTTGAAGAAGAGGATTTTGGAAAGTGTTCGGTGTTGTGCTATGCGAATAAGAACGGTTATTACGATCTAGCTTTAAAAATTAATACATGCACGGGCTTGCTTTTTAGTTAGATCTGAAATTAAATCACCGTCCTCTTACTTGCAAACTGAAAAATATGTGGTTATAGAAGAAAGCAACAAACATGAAATCACTGCAAATATTAACTGAGAAGCTTAAAAGTGCACAGTACTCAGTAAATTACATTGCTTTATGTCCAAGGGTTTTTTTGCTACCGGGGATCCACTTCAGTTTCTGCTGACAGCTAAGCACTAGGGTATTGACTGCGTTGTGAATATTAAGATTGATTCTGCTTTATATTGCATTATATTACTAGGGATAAGGGGAACGATCCCCCCTTCTGCCCTCCTTCCACACGTACCTACATTTGCCTGGATCAGTTCATAATCCTTTTCTGTGTTTGGTTTGTGTTTGTTTTCTGTCTTTCTCTAAACTTTTTGCCCGTCCTGCTCCAGAGCTAACCAAGCAACCTGCCCTTGATGTTCAGACATTTTGCAGCAGGCAGATTTCAATTAAGGCGGCAGGCGTAGGTCCTGCAATCACTTTATTTGCACAGGGCTTAGCCTCACTGTTTTGAAAGGAAAGTATAGTCAACCACATGTCAGAGGTGAGCTGAGAAGAAAAAAACAAGTCTTTTCAGAAACAGGGATTACTGGCAGAGGGTGTTTGGTGAGGCCGCTGCTATTTCAGAAGCAAGAGGGAAGCTGACAAGAGATCTTGTGATTGGAAATGTTTTTGGGTGTTTCGGTGATAACTTGTAAGTTGAGATCCTGCCTTTGTGCTCCAAGCAGTGGAGCCAAGTTTGCAAGTTATCTCTTTTGTAAAATAGCTCAGAACCAACAAAGAGTGCAGGCGTCCGTCTGCCCAAAGGCGAGATCCTGCCAGCCCCAGCAGCGCGGGAGGGATGCGATTAATGCACCGAGTGATTGATGGAGATGAATCCACACCCCCACCCAAAACTGTTCCCACAGGGGGACATTCGCTCGGGGTCTCCCGGTCGAGATGAAATGTCTGCGTGGACGTTAGTTAATGTGCTAAAGCAAAGGAAAAGTGAAAATACGTTCCAGCATGTTTTCTCTGATCTGTTTTCATAGGAAACAGCTCAAACAATTCCGAACTGGAAGGGTAAATGGTCTGAGATGCAATTAAAGCAGAGGTCTTCCCCTGCCCCCCCTTTAGTCGTCATTGTCTTTTGGCCCGAGTACTTCAGGGTGGCTGCAACTGGGTCACGCTCCGGGATTTAATTCTTTTTAATCGGAACCGAAGTTTACCTTGGTGTTGGCAGTGGGAATTGCTATGATGGCTTTATCTCTGCCTTCTGTGAGAAGGGAGAGAGGTGAGAAGGGAGCCTGTAGCCTGTACGGAAAGTGTAATTGCAGTCACGTCTGTTCTGAAATAAGTAATGCAATATTTAAGTCATTTTTATACTGAATTATGTATTTTTTTATATTTTAGTAGTTTTCGGTACAGTCAGTGAGGACTTTGTGAGACTGATAGTAAGAGAAAATGTCATGGAATCCCCAGTTTAGGTAAAGCCACCCTAGCACTTGCCCTCAAGGGTTAAAGGACGCATGGCATTTTGTAGAAGCTTTTCTTTCTGTCTTACTTAGGGTTAGGAACTGAAGGGTTTTTTTTTTTTTTCCTGTGAGGTAATTACCATGTACAAACCAAATCACTGCGTTTAC